TCGGGGCTTGGGGATGAAGAGGTCTCGGGCTTCGAGGGTTTAGGCCTTGGGATGAAGGGTTTTTGGGCTTTCAGGGTGTTTAGGGTTTAGGGTTTAGGGTTTAGGGTTTAGGGTTTAGGGTTTAGGGTTTAGGGTTTAGGGTTTAGGGTTTAGGGTTTAGGGTTTAGGTGTTTAGGGGTTTAGGGGTTTAGGGTTTAGGGTTTAGGGTTTAGGGTTTAGGGTTTAGGGTTTAGGGTTTAGGGTTTAGGGTTTAGGGTTTAGGGTTTAGGGTTTAGGGTTTAGGGTTTAGGGTTTAGCGTTTAGGGTTTAGGGTTTAGGGTTCAGGGTTTGGGATTCGGGGTGCAGGGCTCAAGATTCAGGGTTCAGGGTCAGATTCCAAAGGGTTGAGTTCAGCTTGTTGCTTGGGTCTGCAGGGCCCCCATAGAAGATTTAGTACCCTATGTCTTGAACCTCCAAGTACGATGCCCTTCAGGGTTAGGGTTCAGGGTTTAGGGTTTAGGGTTTCGGGTTTTTCGGGTTTCGGGTTTCGGGGTTAGGGTTTAGGGTTTAGGGTTTAGGGAGGGTTAGGGTTTAGGGTTTAGGGCTTAGGATTCTCGCGGCTTATGGGACCTCGCTGGGGCTCGTCAGGGCCTCAGGACTCTAGGGCACTAAGGTCTATGGATTATGGGCTTTCGGGTTTAGTGCTTTAAACCGATTGAAAAATATTTATGAGTAGGTTCCCTTGTAAGGAAAGAAGGAAATTAAGAAAATTATCCCGAAGCACGACCCATTTTAAGCCGCAAACCCCTAACAACCCTAAACCCTGAAACCCAAAACCCTAAACCCCGAATAACCCCTAAACCCTGAAACCCTCATACCTAAACCCCAAAACCCGAAACCCCAAAACCCTAACAACCCAAAACCCCTAACAACCGTAACAACCCTAAACCCCTAAAACCTATAGACCCTAAATCCCTAACAACCCCAACCCCCCTCCCCCTCTGGACCTGCGGGGTGCCCTTCACAAAGCGCTGGTTTCCTGCTTGGAGATTCATGGTTTTGGGTTTAGGGCTTGGGGTTTGGGGCTTGGGGTTTAGGGTTTAGGGGTACTTATGTCCCCAATTCAAAGTCTGCTTCTCACCCACTTGGGGACTTCGGGGGCTTCTGAATGCAGTTACAATTGATGTTGGAAGTACCCCTAAACCTCTAAACCCTAAACCCTAAACCCATGAACCTCCAAGCGGTCCGCGTTTGAGGCTTTGATAAGGCTTGAGCATGCCAGGCTGCTGCGTCAGGGTTCAGGGGTCTAGGGTGTAGGGCTTTAGGGCTTGAGGCTTTAGGGCCTAGGGGTCTTATTGGTGCTGGGGTGGGCCTTGGGGTTTGTGTTTTTTCTTTCATTTTTTTGGGTAGTTTTTTTTGGGAGAGGGGGGGGGGGGGCTGGGGGGTTGGGGAGTTTGCTTGCGGGTTTGGGAACGCTAAAAGACGCCTGCCCGCAGGAGCTGCATCGCCTCACCAGCCGGCATCGGCGCGTCCTCCCACGCGGTTTGGGGTTTGGGGTTTTCTGGGGGGGGCCTCAATCTCGCTCTCTTTTTGGGATCTTCTTTAAACTTAAACCTCTTTAAACTTAAACCATAAGAAGGACAAAACCTTTCAAACAAAAGCACGGATCCCCAGTACAGACTTACGCTTGGTCGTTCTCTCAGTGATGGTCCCTTTTTCGGTGCCCTAAAAAAAGGGCCGCCTTTCCCTCTGCGTTTCAGGGGAATTGAGGGCCGAGGGTGTTGGGTTCAGGGCTTCGGGAGGTCAAGGAGGTTTAGGGTTTAGGGCTAGGGAGTAGGGTTTCGGGTTTACGGCTAGGGTTTAGGGTTTCGGGTTTAGGGCTAGGGTTTAGGGTTTCGGGTTTAGGGTTTAGGGCTAGGTGGTTGGCTTTGGGCTTCGGCTGAGGCTTGCGCGCAGCGGCTCGACATGCCCCCCAAAGGCAGAAGCTGGAACCCTAAACCCTAAACCCTAAACCTAATCACCCTAAACCCTAAACCCTAAACCCCAAACCCTAAACCCCAAACCCTAAACAACAAGCACCCAGAAACCGCAACTCCCCCAAGTCTTGAAATTCTCTCACTAGGCTCCTCGCCCCAACCCGCCTCAACCCGCCCCACCCACACAACCTTAACCCTAAACCCTAAACCTTGAACCCTAAACTTGAATCAGAAAATGTCAATCCTAAACTCCAAAAGCCGTAAAGCCTCCTAAAACCGCGTCTCAATGGCGCCAAAAGTCCTCAAACCCTCAAAACCCGCAAAACCCTCAAGACCTCAAAACCCTCAAAACCCTCAAAACCTGCAAAACCCTCAACACCCTCAAAACTCTCAAAACCCTCAAAACCCTCAAACCCCCACCGTACCCTAAACCCTAAACCCTAAACCGAAACCCTAAACCCTAAGCCCTAAGTCCTAAACCCTAAACCGAAACCCTAAAAAACCCAAGCCCTAAGTCCTAAACCCTAAACCCGAGCCCCTACCTT